CAGCAATGATCTGATGTTGGAGCGGCAGCTAAAAGTCAGCATTCAGATGCAAAATCTAGTGTTGTTTCCACTCTAGCACTTGCAGTTTATTTATTCAGCAACCTTCCACAGCCTTGTTTATTGTAAAGATATTGTTTTAGAGACCGAGATGGGAAGTGCGGAGAGGAAATGCTCTTTCTGGGGGAGTTTACAGTTTCAAAGAAAACATAAAGCTGAATCACAAATGACAATATGTGCTGTTTGAATGTGTGTAGTGCTTAGGGGGAACAAGACAGAAGCTTAAAGGAGGAGAAGACGTCTGACCTAAGGTGATAAGGAAGGCCAAGTGGAAGATGATTTCAAGCTGATGGGTGGATGGAAATTCCATGGGTAGCATCAAAAGGAAGAGGCATTCTGGGAAGTGTCATTAATTGTAATGAACAAAGGGAAAGTTGGAGACACGGGCCAGGAAAATAAAAGAACAGGGGAATCCTGTGCAAAGCAGAATGACTGGTAATCTTTGGAGGGTGCCACTTGCAGGATGGACACAATTGCATCCACATCTTTTGGTTGCTGCATTTATAAAGCCACCCCCGAAAGAGAAATTTTGATTGTGTGAGGGCAGGGGAGCTTGGCTCAGAGTCCCACACCTATAAAAAATGGAGGTGAAATGACCATTCAAAACAGAAAATCAGGATACTGTTATTAAAAGAAGACAGCTTGAAAGCTCGAAGTTAGGTGCAAAAGGTAAGGCACAAGCAAACAAAAACATCCAATGCCCACCTCCACATCCTGCAGGGTGTGCGTGAGGAGAAAGGTAAGGTGAAGAGAAGGAGGAATAAGGAAAGCTATTAGAATATTAGAGTAGCTTGGCTTGACTGCCGCTCCCAGTGGGCTACCTTCTGGCTTTCTGGTCATCCCTACTTGCCCTCCGTACACCCAGCACTACCATCTCAATGAGAGCTGCTCTCCTTGATCCACACTAAGTTTGTAAGGCATAGTTTTGTTCCAGGAACAGCTGACTCAAAGGAGGGAGGATTTGCGGGTATGGTTGTACCTATGCATGAGGAACGCTTCAACTCTGCCCGGCTACTAGCAAGCAGACGCTTGGGTGCAAACATAGACACTGGTATTTCGCTCTTAAATTTAGGAAGTGTCTGGTTTTTGCTGCAAAACTGGGATGAACACATAGTTTTAAAAAATATACCAGGGAAATTCTATCCATCGTTTCCAAGCTGCATGTTTTTCCTTTCCTTCTTTAATCTGAACATTCCAATAGGAGAGCAGATCAAGCACTCAAGTTCCATGGGGGACTATGCCAAGCACTGTAGGAGCCTGTGATATGCTCTCCGGGTTCAACCCTCAGCCTTCTCCCCAGCTCATCCATGGACATGGCTTCCAAATGATTCCTTCCTCCCCACTCAAGCTCTGCACACCTGGTGCTACCTCTGTGAGCTTCACTCTCTTCATTTACATGATGAAGAGTTTAAACAAAGGTCTCTCCGTAGGGCTCTTACATTAAAGTTCAATGTCAAGTTCAAAAGCTTTATTGAAGTCATGGTGAGCAAGGACTGCACTGCTTTTGACTAAGAACTTTGGTCTTTAAATATTTGGATGCAAAATTGTAGCCTTCCAATCCTTCCCCTCTCTCCTTCCCTGAAAATGTGATTTGACCAGGAAATTGACATTTTCAGCTACAGTTGTATTTTTTAATGAAAGAAAGCTTTCTCATGTAGTTAAGTAAAATAATTTAGTATTATTAAAAGATAATGATAAGGGCCCCTGAATTTTTTTTTGAAGAGAGGAATACTAATTTCCCATCAGTAGCACGGTGTAGTAATACAGCATGCAGTGAAATTGCTGAGTTGATAGTGCTATGTTTGACAGAATGACTGCTTAATACATCCTCTTGAGCTACCAAATCTAGAAATCACTAACAAATGATAAACAGAAATTCCATGAACACTAACGATGACACCAAAAATTGCAGCTATGACAGATAAGATAGGAAGCTGTTTAAAAGCAACTGACACTTGCTGAACACTATGTGTAATTCTTTAATTTTTAGCTTTCTTCAAAGTGCTGCCTTAGAAGCTGGAAATGAGGTCATCCTGAGACCCAGGCTCTACTTTTTTAGCTAGGCCATTGGCTGATGTCTATTGCTTAATTCCCACAAATCAAAATTTCTAATCAAAGATAAATGTGCATCTCTATGTGTATATATGGGTAATATATACACCTAGGTATGAATATAGAACATTTATAACATGTATGCAAATATGTGTATATATATATTGATTAAGATCCTATATAGTTTCTCAACAATATTAGCTTTGAAATAATGGTAGGTTTTCTAAAATAAATACGTTCTCATATAACAAGAAATCCTAAATTATGTGGTTGCCCATGTCACTTTGAGTTGCTTAGTAGTAAAGCCATCAGGGACCCAGGCTGCTTCTAGCTTCTTCTCTAGAACTGCTGGGATGTTGGTTTTTTCCCTGTGTTTGTTACTTCCTGGTCAGAACATGGCTGCCACATCTCAGAGATAATGCTCAGTTCAAATAATAAGGAATCCTCGTTCTGCATTATCTCTCAGTGGACAGCTAGGAATATGGGGACCTGGACTGAACGACTGTTGAAGACCACTGGGGCCATGCCCTGGAGCCGAGCAGGTTTAAACTGGAAACTCAATCGGAATTCTTTTATTGAAAAGAAGGAATACTGGATAGGGGGGCTATCAGATTTTGCCATAATAAGAACACTAGGTAAATTAAATTACTTTAAAAATGCAATTGTGAAAAAGGTGATCAAGTACTTGGAAAATATGAGACAAGAAAATTTCTCCAAAATAAATAAGATCATCTGTAGGATTTTACTGTGCTGAACTCACTTTAATTAACACAAGGAGTTTCATGTTACTTCTTATAACCTTCAGTAGGTCCTCTCACTAGGAAAAAAGGTACAGCCAGTCCCTGAAATCAACAGACAGAACTTTGTGGCTGTTTTCTTAAACAGATAAATATTCAAGAGGACAAATGCAGTACCTTTGCAGTAGAAGAAGTGACTTATTCTGATAATATATTTTGAAGACAAGAATCATCCTGGACTGCAAAATGTGCACGTGTCCCTGTCACATTACCTGAGTGACTCTGGCTTACATTAACGGGCAGATGACATCTGGTGTTCCACAGCTGGCTTTTTCTTGGGCAGCCAGAAAGCATCTCCTCACCTGGCATGTTCCCCATATTGGATGGAAAGAAAAAGAGAGAGGGTGCCACTGCCAGAGCACCCCAGACTTAACACCAGGCAGAAACGACAGCTGAGAGCAGTCCCAGGCGTGCACTTGCTTAGTAGGAGTTAGCAGGGGCAAGCAGGTTCTGCTGACCAGAAACAAACAAGGGGGCTGAGGAGAATTTCTAAGTCCTACATTCTTAACTACCTCACAGCGAACTACCTCACAGCACTGCAAGCATGTCCAGGAAATGCAGAAACCCAGGAAACGAGGAGATGTAAATAACAGATAATTGTCAGGACTCCCCAAAGGTAGTTTCAAATGGTTTTGAATTTGGAAAATGATATGTATAAGCATTTCATAGTAATATGTATACGTGTCCAATGAATGCGTTTTCTTTTAATGTGTTTGTTTTTCATTGCCCGATTGCATTGAGTAGAAAAATAATTTAAAGACTGCTTAAATATATAAGAAGCATTATTTGGGCAGTAAGAATTCTGATAGTTTATTTAGGTAAAAATCCTTTTTCCACCACACATTGCTGTGGCTACACCTCACACTAGGCAGCAACTGAAAGAATGAATTTTGAAGACCTGAGACATGTTGCAGTACGTGACCTGTAAGCAAAGTAACTACAACTTATTTAAAAGTATTTGCATTACATATGTATGCGCCTAAATAAATGCTATTTTACACAATCATAGTGTTATAAATTCATTTGTAAGTTCTGAAATTCAAAGGAATCTGAAAAGAAGATGATTTTGTGACTATTACAGACTTCCTATTTCCTCTAACCTTTTCTTTTGTTTTGGCTCAATTACCCTAATATGTTTGGATGAAAAGATAAGAGTTTCAGGAAATCTTATTTCTAGCTTAAAAGTATTTTGATTTATGATTCAGAATTTCCAATATAGAAAGGTCTTTAGATAAATATTCATAATTATCATTGTTATCTTTAAATGTCAAGTTAATCTTTGATGGATCTACACTGTTGATTTTCTAATCTATATCCCAGTTTTTCATTAGAGTATAATAGCAAACAGAACCAAATTATTTCTATTGCTTGGCGAAAGAACAACACTATATATATATAATTTCAAACCTTGTTTCTCGCTAAATATATCTAGAAATATATTATGGAACTGAGAAATTACTGTAATTTATGATATGAAGGGGTAAAACATTAATATTTGTCTAGTTATTTTACAAATTTTTTGTAGAACTGTACTTTTTAAATCCACAGTAGTATTTTAGAATGTAAAACCCTTGAGGGCATTATGCTAAATAAGCAGTCATGAAAGGCAAATATTATGTGATTCCACTTATATGTGGGACTTAGACTAATCAAATCCGTAGCAACAGTAGAATGGCAGTGGCCAAGGACTGAGGGAGGGAGGGATGCGAACGTGTAAATGAATAAGCAAGTAAACAGTCTTTTTGGCCCTCCAGTGAGATACATTATTTCAATACTTTATTTCAACATGTACATTTTACCGCGGTTTTCACTCAAAATGAAGAATAAATTCACGAGTACATGCAAAGCGCTGAGCAGGAAGGACCGGGTAGGCAGTTATTATTTCAGTAAATGTCATCTCTTTTATTTTATTATTAAAACAACAAATACTCCAGAAAGTCAAAAGAACAATTTTAAATATCTTCTCAGTAAGTTCACGAGTATTTTCGTGTCAGAGTCAAATGACATTCTTGATGTGTTTTCCAAAATCCTTCACTAAGAAACTTTATTGTTCTAGGAGGAATCGTTGATAAAGACCTGCGTCACTACCTCAACTTACGATTTCAGAAGGGGTCTGTGGACCACGAACTCCAGCAAATCATTCGCGACAACCTCTACCTCCGCACCGTGCCGTGTGAGTACGCCGGGCAATAGCATTTTCTCCCTACGTTAGTAGAGAAATACGCAGCTCTATAGCCACTGTTTAAAAGAAAAGTTAAATCGTGCTGATTGTTGTATGGTGGGCATTTGGAAAAGAAAACTGATTTGAGATATATGGAAGTTTTAAATGCAAATGCTTCTAGCAGTGGTTGTGTGGTTGATGATGGGCCTTGGACAGAAGAAAGTGGCGATTTTCAGGCTGTAAAACTCTGACTCACACTTCTCGAGTTAGTACGGAGATGTGTAAATCCCAGTCCAGACTTTTGGACTTGATTCAGAGTGAATCAAGATTGAGGTAGAAATCCACAACGGGAGACGGGAGAATGTAAACTCAGTCTATTAGTTGAAACAGCTACTTTAGAAAGAGAATCTGTACAGTAAACTCATTTTTGCTTTGCAGCAGAGAAATTTCACAAATGAAAAGGACACACTGAAGAGTAGGAAGTGATGATGTTGCATGTTGGGATAAATTTCTCATGTGCAACCTATGGAAATCCACAGACATCAATTTCTGGTTTTCCTTTAAGAGAGGAATTGGCGAAATGAAAAAAAAGCACAAATAGAATTCTTAGTGCCCATTGCACCTTATTTGACAATCCTCTATTCGCTTTAGGACAAATGAAGGACTTTTCAGCTCAGGTTCTAGATCCTGCATGGATATCAAATTCCATGTTCTTTAAAGGAGATTTAATAGGCGCCAAAGACCTTCTGGCCAAGAAAAGGGCTGGTCTGTGGGTATTGTCGGTATTCCTTTTGCCTTAGTTCTGAACTTTAATAAACTCAAAGCTATGGATTCCAGAGGCTTAATATTAAAGAAAAAAAACTTGGTTAGGAAAAATGAAACAAACAAACAAAAAGATTTTTGATATCTAGGATTGAGCCACCAGCAGTATGTAAGTAATATATATGGGTGAATATACTGAAATATTGAAAAATTCACAAATGTGACAATGGACAAGTAAGCTTCCAACACTTTCAGCCCACACACATTTTAGAAGGGATGGATTCCCAGCTATATTAGTGCTAAATGTTCGTTAAAATAAAAATGCCACAGCACCACTGTCAGACATTCCTAAACGAGAATACTTGCTGGTTGCTGTCTTGCTGGTCAAAATGATAGCTCTTGCTGTGTGTGCTAGGTAAAGGAAGAGACTTTTGGACTCTTGCTGTAGAAGTTAAGAAAAGTGCATTCTTAAGCTTACGAGCTTGACATCACAGTGACGGGCAAAGGAAGATGAATGAAAGGAAAGTGACTGAACTATTTATAAGGTGACAGGTAGACACATTTTCAAAGCTGTGATGTTGTCAGTGTGGCCATGTGAATTTATCTTTTATGACATGGAAGAAAGGAGATCCGAAATACTAAATAAAGAATCCAGGCACTTTATTGTGTTTAGAAGCTGAGAGAAATAGGTAAGAGGCTGACATTCAGGAGTACTTGCAGTCTTTGCTAAGGAAAATGATATAAATAAGAAAGTATTAATTAAATATGAAGATAATGAGTAAATTTGGCATTAGTTAATTAACTTCTTAAAGCATTTCTTTAGAGTGCCAAAGAAAGACTATGAAGGAAAAGTAAATAAGAAGGTAAAATGTCTAGACTTAGAGGAGTAAACAGGTAAGAGTTTCAAGATGTGATTTTGGGAGAAGGTCATAAATTCAATTATAAGTCCGTGAATAGCTCCTGTAAAGAAGATAATTAGAAACTCAGTGAATCTGAATATTATGATGAAATAATTATTCTTTGGGGTTTTTTTTCAGCCACCACACTCCTAATAGCCAATTCCAATGACACCACTCCTAATAGTGCTTTTTATCAGGGTGTAGTAGTGAAGAAAATTTGAGGTAGAGATGATTCTGATTTATATTATTAAAAACCATTTTTATACTAATGAGTTAGAACTGGACAATCTACCATCTTCACTCAGTGTATCTTTTAATGAAGTGTTCAGACATTTTTGGAGAGCATGCTATAAAAATGTGTGAATAGCATGAAAAATCCTACCATGGCTTAGAAACTTAAATTAGATCCAGCGCAATCTATTGGTACTGAGTATGGAATCATACTTTTTACACATTGTTCTAGGAGAAAATATTCTTTTTGGTTTTCATGAAATCAGCACAATAAGGAGAAAATGTGCTACTAGGAGCGCACCATGGCCTCCATGCATGTATGCATTAATATGTGCTCAGGTACCTGCCGCCATGGCATCCGGAATATGTCTGTGATAACTTTATTGAAGCAGGACTATAGTTCATGTAAAATTATGTGAAAGAGCACTAATCTTTTTTTTACAAGAAAATGAATGCTTCTGCCAGCTATTTGACCTCACTCCTCTACTGCTGACTGCAGCTAGAAAGAAGGGAGCCAAGTCTTGGTGCTGGACTCGCGGGGTCCCGCGACCCTCTGCACGCACTTGCGCTTGTGAGCAGCATGTCTCCTGTACGCACACGGAAGCGTCTGGCTGCCGGCTGCTTTCTAAGCTACTCAGGTGAAAGAGGCCATTAGCCCAGCGCTCCCATTGTCTTCAACAGCAAATAATAAAAAAAAATGCTGTCCTTCTTTTACAATCAGAAAGGTTTACCTTTTGTTTCCCCAAACAGTATCTCAGAACCGATTTCTTCAAAAAATTCTTCTAGAACCATATATCTAGATATGGAAGGAAGTCTCAGTCATGGAGAAGGGATTGTTGTGCACAGAGTGAGTGACACAAGATACACAGACAGACAGACAAGCTCGAGTGTGCACACGCGTGCACACACACACACACACACACACACACACACACACGCTTGCTGAAATCAGGTCACCATTCCTTAAAATCAGATCACAAAGTAAAATCCTTAAGAAGGGACTTGATATTTCCTGTAGAACATAACAAACCAGTCCCAAGATGATTCATATTCACTGAAGACTTGAATTTGTGCTTAAATATGTGACTTTCACTTGTTAATTATGTAACTAATACGGGGGGGTGGGAAATAAAGATTTCTAGAAGACACTTACTAAGAGGAGAAAGGCAATTGTTTTAAAATGGAGACTGCGAACGTATTTTCCACTATTAGATTTCAGGTTACTTAAGATTTTTATGTAATCAGACTTCAGATAAAATGAATAAATGGCTATGAAATGAAACTATTGTGGCCTAGAATATGGTAAAGACTAATGGGAGAAAGTGTATAGATAATGATCCGGATTGTTCACCGTATTGGGTTTCAGTTATGGTGATCGTATACAAAGCGCAGTTTCAGAAGCACTGTTAGCGCAAGATGGTTTCATCACAGCATGTTACATGCACAGAGTTAAGGCAGCATTCATTGTCCCTGGGGTAGCATAGATCCAAAGTATAGGGAGAATTCCTGGAAATAATACTGAAAAACATTGGATTAATTTGTAAGTTTTTAAAGAGTACAAATGAAGTTTATTTTGGCTTTACTATTCCACTGAGCATAATAATGACATATATTTAGTTCAAGTCTAATCAACCACCATTAAGCTGACTATGCTTCTTAAATATGAAGAAAATAATCACTCCAACTTATTGATAAAGTTCTTGTTCTATCTTTGATATGTATATTAGAGACACAAATTAATCCTTGAGGAAGGTATAAGCACAGATATAAATTTTAGATGCTTTTCCCCACTATACCAGACGACGTGGTAAAGGACTTCAATGACCAATTTTGAAAGTTTTGAAATGAAATGGAAGACAGTTAAAATAAAAATTGTCTCCAAACAGTATATTTATCATTTAGTGAGATGGTTTTACTAGGAAATATTTTAAATTGATTTGAAGCCAGAAGAAATGCCAGTGTAATATACCAAGTAAAAGAGAAAAATCAATAAAATTAAAGTCTAAAACTATTCTATGAAAAATGACTAAGATGAAAAACATAGACCTGCGATATGAAGGAAATTACTTTCATGGAAGACCAGTTCAGGGTATAACTCAAAATGATGTCTATACATACTTAAGGGACTTACGTTAGTAAAACTGAGCCATGATTGAAGAAGAATTTCCACAGATAAAATCGTAAGGTTTCTAATATATGCTTTTTAAAACTTTCTGATATTTGTGCCAAACTATCTTTCGCAGAGAATGAGATAGAGACAGGCTCTTTACAAGTGGTGAGAAAGTCTTCCGTTAGGAACAGTTACAGTGTACCAAAAGATGAAGCTATGCAAGATATTAACAGTTTTTTACATTTTAAAGAGAATAAAAAATAAAGACATTAGAAATGATACAGAACTTTTAAAAAACAAGATGATATGAATTCAACAATAGTTGTTATGTTGCATATTGTGGTCTTCCACGTAGTGGTTCGGATTATCAGATATAGATATGTAAAATTGGTCAAAAAATTAAGCATTAACTGTTCCTTTCAATAAACCAATAGAGGGCCTGGGGATTTAGCTCAGCGGCAAAAAGCGCCTGCCTGGCAAGCGCAAGGTCGTGAGTTTGGTTCCCGGTACCAGAGAAAAACCAAAAAAAAAAAAAAAAAAAAAAAAAAAAAAACCAATAGAAATTAGTAGTATAGTTATCTTAACAATCTTGTGTATATATATTTTTCCCTTCCTTCTTTGTTTTCTCCCTTCCCTCATCCCAGTTGTTCTTTCCTTTTGAGTAGTTTCTTTCCCTCCAAACGGTCACATTGTCCTGAAGACAATAAGAACCTGAAAGAGTAAATAAAATCAACATCCTTTTCTGTTGGTTATATAATACGAAGTAAGACTGGCCAAAAAGAACTAGTGGAGAGTGGCTGATTAGGTAACAAAAGAGAAAGGTATCACAGATTACCAAGATGAACAGACCATCTCTTACCAATGGAAGGAACTTCTCTCAGATGAAAATGATCGAGAACATGAGTAAGTTCTCGGCACACCTGTAAGCAGTACAGACTTACGTGCAGAGATGGTAGGCTGCATGTATAGGAGAAGAAGCATCTGATCCAACTGAATTTTAAACCAACATA